GCTGGTAAGCAAGGCGGGTAGCCTCGCTGGGGCTGGGAGAAGCGGCACAGCCCTTAGAGGGTTAGTGACTGGGTCGTGTGGTGTGTCTGGCTTGGATGTTATGATGAAACCTAAACTGGGAAGGCTCAAACCATAGAGTCAGAGAACCATCCTTGCTATTAACACCTACAAAACCACAGACTAAGGAGAGGAAATAATCAATACAGACGATCAACTGCCCCAAGACAGAGACAGTCAGTTGCACAAGCACCCATGTCACGAGTTTTGCCTGTCAGCAGCTAGGGGTACATGGCCCCAGAACCCTTGCACCGACCTCCTCGACAGCTGGCAGGCATCGTGGCTGCAGCAGAGGCCACCATCCCTGCAGCTGTCACCCCGCTGCGCCTTAACACACACAGTGTCACCCATGGCACGAGTTTTGCTTGTCTGCAGCTTGAGGTGCAGTTCCCCCCAAGCCCCTGCACCGATCTCCTTGAAACTTGGCAGGCTTTGTGGCCTCACCAGGGGCCGCCATCCCTGCAGTTTTCACCCCCCTGTGGTATAATACATACACGTGACATGAGTTTTGCTTTCAAGAATTTGGGGTGCAGTTCCCCCTGAACCCCTGCACCGATCTTCTTGAAACATGGCAAGCTTCGTGCTCTCAGCAGAGGCTACCATCTCTGAAAGCTTCATCTAAATCAGACAAAAAACAACAAGGTTATAGATATTTCATTCATTCCCCATTATACCCTATGGCTGATTATCCAAGGCAACTCCGAAGCTTCGGAGCCGCTTTGACCGGATCGAAGCAGGAAACCGATCCAGAGCTCCAGATCAGATCGCTGGCATCCAAAGCAGCCAGATCCGAAGCCGGATTGAATAGCTGCCTACTCGCACAGGCCTACTAATCAATCCTGCTTGCTAGTAAGTGTATTTTCAGAAACAAGCCTGTCTAAAAGGGTTGTAAGTTGTAGCCATGTTGGTCGAAGGACATAGGCAGACAAGGTTTTTTAAGTAAATCTGATATCTTTTATTAGACCAACTCAAACAGTTGGAAGCATTCTGCTTAGCAAGCCATCCAAGAAGAGCACACACCCACTGCAGATGCTTCCTCAGCCTGATGAAAGGAATTTATACCCGAAAGCTTGCTAAGCAGAATTTTTCCAACTATTTGAGTTGGTCTAAGTAAAGATATCAGATTTACCCCAAAAACCTTGTCTCCCTGTCGAAAGAGCACTCTGCCAGCAGTGGAACAAGCAGAAACCTTTGTCTGCAGCCAGGGATGCATTAGCCATCTCGCTGCACACCAGGATTAGTTAAAAGTGCTTCCCCTTTCCAGGAACAGCAGAAGCCTTGCTTCTGCCATGTAGTGGTGGATCACAGTTGTAGCTGTGTTGCTATTTAGTGTTATGGGGAAGTGACTGTGACCAGGAGACAGTCAATCGGACTAAGGAGGAAACTTTTAAAGGGTCACAGTAAGGTGTATTCAGGTTGTTCAACAAAAGTGGGAACATCGCCCGCCCTCCAGTGTGCTGAAGTGTAGTTGCAATTGTATCCAAGTAGTTAGTTTTGTTATCAACTATTGTTATTATATTCATAGATGCTAGGGTTGGAAGGGACCTCAATCAACAGACTGAGTCCAACCCCCTGCCTAGGCAGGAAAGAGCGCTGGGTCAGATGACCCCAGCCAGATGCTTATCCAGCCTTCTCTTAAAGACCCCCAAGGTAGGGGAGAGCACCACCTCCCTTGGGAGCCTATTCCAAATTTTGGCCACCCTTACCATGAAGAAGTTTTTCCTGATATCCAGCTTAAATCTGCTCTCTGTCAGTTAGTGACCATTGTTCCTTGTTACCCCAAGAGGCACCCTGGTGAACAGAACATCTCCGATCCCTCGCTGCATCCCTGTAATGAATTTGTAGGCGGCCACAAGATCACCTCTCAGCCTTCTCTTGCGGAGGCTGAAGAGGTCCAGGTCCCTCAGTCTCTCCTCATAGGTCGTGTCCTGTAAGCCCCTAACCATATGACTGGTCCTCCTCCGGACCTTCTCGAGTCTATCAACATCTTCCTTGAATTACAGCGCCCAAAACTGGACGCAGTACTCCAACTGCAGTCTGACCAATGCTGCATAGAGGGGAAGTATCACCTCCTTGGTTTGGTTTGTGATGCATCTGCTGATGCATGATAAAGTGCAGTTAGCTTTGCTGATGATTTCATCACACTGACGACTCATGTTCATCTTGGTGTCCACTTTGACTCTGAGATCCCTTTCCGCTTCTGTGCGGCTGAGAGGGTCACTTCCCAGCCAGTAGGTATACTGGATATTTTTGTGCCCTAAGTGCAGCACTCTGCACTTATCCTTGCAGTACTGCATCCTACTGTGCACTGCCCACTTTTCCAACCTGTCCAGGTCTGCTTGCAATTGTTCCCTACCCTCCGGAGTGTGCACTTCAACCCCAAATTTAGTATCATCTGCAAACTTGGACAGAGTACACTTCACACCCACATCCAAGTCACTGATGAAGATACTGAAGAGTACAGGTCCAAAGACCAAAACCTGCAGGACCCCACTACCCACATCCTTCCAGGTCAATACCGACCCGTCTACAACCACTCGCTGGGTGCGACCGCTAAGCCAATATGCCACCCACCGGACCATGTAAATATCTAGGTCACAGCCTCTTAATTTATTTAAGAGAATGGGATGAGATACCGTATCAAAGGTCTTGCTAAAATCCAAGAAAATGACTTCCACCTCTACTCCTGTATCTAAGCGTTTTGTGACCCTGCATTTTTTTTATATACATAAAAATATCATTTCTTGTTTATTTTATGTTATTTCAATCGGTTGTGTATAATAAAGAATAATATATTCATCGGGTTCAGAGTGACTTCCTGGGCGGTGAGGGTGAGGAGCACACCTCTCCATGGGACACTTCAGGCAGCAGTCTGCCTGAAGGGCTCTGGGGCTACTGGCACCCTGAGGACCCAAAACCTGGAGCATGACCTGACCGTAGCATGCCAGCACAGGGTTACACTAATTTATAATGGAGTTATCGCATTCATGAAGGGGACCAGACCACATAGTTGCCTGCTGCCATCAGGGACTGGACTCAGTGACCCAGGAGATTCCTTCTGGTTCAACGAAATATTCATACTAAAGCTTTTACATGTCTTTTCTTTAAAATGTCCCAAAGCCAATGGCCTCTGTGTGGAACAGCAGTGTGTCCTGGAAAATATAAAAGCCCTGCAGATTCCCTGAAATGCCCTAATGTCATTGTCTTCTCAACTGGTGCAGCCTGCTGCTCTGTTCTCTCACCTGCCCCTTCCACAGTCTTCACAAACCAGGAGGCAGG